TTTTTTTTTTTATTTTGTGACACCAATTTAACCCAAATTCATTAACTATGATTAGCAAAGAATCTTTGAAACAAAATTCATCATGTTATTATATTGGTAATTTTATAAAATACGTTATGTTTCTTTTTAAATCTTTAAACTGTTTATTTGAATTAGATGTTTAATTAGTTAATTTCATGCATACTCTTTATTAAAATGTCATTTTCCACTTTCCCTTTTCCAAACAAATCCAATTTACAATATCTAAAATTTTTTTGTTTTACAATTTACCTCTTTTCAGTTCCATGCTAAGAATAAAATTCATATTTCGTATGATATTCCTATCTTGGTTTTATTCAAAACTACCTTATAGATGTTTGAATATTAAAAATTGGAAAACTTTTACATTACCAAACATATCAAAGTCGTTGAACCTTATGTCCTAATGGCCAATATATCATATCCTATTTGTCTTAGATGCTCCTCCAAAAAGTATTGTGTTGTCTTAGTTAACAATCTCATATAATTTATCAGAAATAAAATAAAATAAAATCTCTTTGAATTTTGAAATAATATAGGAATAAGTTTGTTGATTTAATCATTCTCTTAAAAGTGCTTGACTTTTTGACTCATTCTCCAAAATTGTTTCTCGTTTCATAAAGGTAGGCTATGATATAATTCGATAGTTAATAACAAATTAATATAAAGACTCATAAAATTACTTTGAGATCAAGGAGTTAACATCAACCTCAATGTTGCCATCAATATGCAATGCATTAGGACGGTAAATTTCTTGGAAAGTTTTGATAACTTTGGTGCAGATTCGTGATCCATGAATATTTTCAAGATTCTAAATTATTTTGGAATTTAAAAGTAATTATGAGATCCAGTAAAATTATAAATTTTGTTATTACTTCGAAATAACTAAAACTGTTTTAATATTTATATTCAATCATATGACATACGAGTTATATTTAGAGATTTCAATGTTGTTCTTAATCAGTTTATATTTTTCAGGTAAATAGCACAGAATAAGACCTATTAAACTTGTCTCATGCCTTAATGTATTAAACAAAAGAGAGATAATAGTCTTTTTAATACATCTTCTATTGTATATATTGGTCATTGCACAACTTGTATCTCTTATCCTGTTTCTAATGTTAATCTACTTCTTACTCTTTAAATATGTAAGTGTTGTAATATAATATCTAATACTTTGTTATGTAAAGAGAAGAAACTACTAGCTTAAGTGGCATTTATATATATATATATATATATATATATATATTTTTTTTTTTTTGTTTAAGCAACTCACTTGGTATATATTTTTCTCTAACCTTATTATTAACATCATTCAATATACAATGGAAAAATAATCAATGGATTGGTCTTTTTCTTTAAAGAAAAAAAAAAAGATAATTCAATACGATGTGGACATAAGAAAAAAATAAATGGATTCGGCTAGACACAAAAGTAAGTAATCATTCAAAAGATAGCAAAAGTATATTTTCTTAAAGTATAAAGATTCAAAAATAAATAAGTAAATATTCTATATTTTCCGATTCTCCTTATTTCTAACATAAATAATACAAATATGTGTAAAAAGGTTCATTCACAACAATCACAACTAACAATTTGGGAAATTCTCAATATGTTTCTTTTTTTTTTTTCAAGGTTTATAAACAATTAATATAACATTTTAAAATAATGTGAGCTTGTATAATCAGTAGTGTTTGATTTGGTTGGGTCAATAAGAAACCTTTTTAACAAAGGAGGTTT